AGCTGATTAGTCATTTGCAATAAACAGAACTCTACTTCTGGGAATAAAATCGAACCACGGTCCTCCGCGCGACAGGCAGCGAAACTGTCCACTATACTAACGAGGTAACAACTCAACACAATGTGTTATCGAGTGTCCCCAATGTTATGTAGTGTCTTTTTCTGCAACAGCAAAGCCATGCTTGTTTTTGGACTTTGAAACCACAAGAGAGAATGTAAAATGTAAAAAGTAATGTGATGTAAAAGCCCTTTGACTTGGAATTTTTGGGCTGCTTTGCTGCTGGCAAAGCAATACAAAAGTGTAAAAAAGACAAGTCCTTTCCGATATTCGTCGCTTTGTTGAAGTATGCGGCTATGTGAAAGTAATAAAGAGCCAAGGAAACATTTGCCTAGTGTTAATGGCAATATTGCCCCATCGGGGAATCAAACCCCTGTATTTGCTTGATTAGCAGAGACACTCTCCACTACACTGAAGAACAAACAAACTTATGAGAGCGTGACACAGAGCACGACTCGAAATTTCTAGTCTCACTTTTTGCAACAGCAACATCGTATTTATGTTTTCACCTGGAAAACCCTAGATTGAATTTAAAAGGGGTGTTGTTGAGGATTCGGGTAAACCGTCTGTCTTTTAGCTGTCCTTAGCCAACAGCATCAAGTCATTTTCGTTTTGCAAAAGATTGTAACTCCCCGTCGGGGAATCGAACCCCGGTCTTCCGCGTGACAGGCGGAGATACTGTCCACTATACTAACGAGGAAGCAACTTGGAAAATCGTTTCATCGAGTGCGCCCCAATCTTACATAGTGTCATGCCCTGCAACGACAATGCCAGCTTTGTTTTTCGACTTCAAAACCCCAAGAGTGAATGGGGCTGTTGCAGATTCTGTGCAACTGTCTGTCTGTTGACTGGCTTAAACTTGCATTGTCCTTAGCCAGTAATCAACAGCTGATTAGTCATTTGCAATAAACAGAACTCTACCTTGGGGAATAAAATCGAACCACGGTCCTCCACGCGACAGGCAGCGAAACTGTTCACTATACTAACGAGGTAACAACTCAACACATTGTGTTATCGAGTGCCCCCAATGTTACGTAGTGTCTTTTTCTGCAACAGCAAAGCCATGCTTGTTTTTGGACTTTGAAACCACAAGAGAGAATGTAAAATGTAAAAAGTAATGTAATGTAAAAGCCCTTTGACTTGGAATTTTTGGGCTGCTTTGCTGCTGGCAAAGCAATACAAAAGTGTAAAAAAGACAAGTCCTTTCCGATATTCGTCGTTTTGTTGAAGTAATAAAGAGCCAAGGAAACATTTGCCTAGTGTTAATGGCAATATTGCCCCATCGGGGAATCAAACCCCTGTATTTGCTTGATTAGCAGAGATACTCTCCACTACACTGAAGAACAAACAAACTTACGAGAGCGTGACACAGAGCACGACTCGAAATTTTTAGTCTCACTTTTTGCAACAGCAACATCGTATTTATGTTTTTACCTGGAAAACCCTAGATTGAATTTAAAAGGGGTGTTGATGAGGATTCGGGTAAACCGTCTGTCTTTTGGCTGTCCTTAGCCAACAGCATCAAGTCATTTTCGTTTTGCAAAAGATTATAACTCCCCGTCGGGGAATCGAACCCCGGTCTTCCGCGTGACAGGCGGAGATACTGTCCACTATACTAACGAGGAAGGAACTTGGAAAATTGTTTAATCGAGTGCGCCCCAATCTTACATAGTGTCATGCCCTGCAACGACAATGCCAGCTTTGTTTTTCGACTTCAAAACCCCAAGAGTGAATGGGGCTGTTGCAGATTCTGTGCAACTGTCTGTCTGTTGACTGGCTTAAACTTGCATTGTCCTAAGCCAGTAATCAACAGCTGATTAGTCATTTGCAATAAACAGAACTCTACCTTGGGGAATAAAATCGAACCACGGTCCTCCACGCGACAGGCAGCGAAACTGTTCACTATACTAACGAGGTAACAACTCAACACATTGTGTTATCGAGTGCCCCCAATGTTACGTAGTGTCTTTTTCTGCAACAGCAAAGCCATGCTTGTTTTTGGACTTTGAAACCACAAGAGAGAATGTAAAATGTAAAAAGTAATGTAATGTAAAAGCCCTTTGACTTGGAATTTTTGGGCTGCTTTGCTGCTGGCAAAGCAATACAAAAGTGTAAAAAAGACAAGTCCTTTCCGATATTACTCGTTTTGTTGAAGTATGAGGCTATGTGAAAGTAATAAAGAGCCAAGGAAACATTTGCCTAGTGTAAATGGCAATATTGCCCCATCGGGGAATCAAACCCCTGTATTTGCTTGATTAGCAGAGACACTCTCCACTACACTGAAGAACAAATAAACTTACGAGAGCGTGACACAGAGCACGACTCGAAATTTCTAGTCTCACTTTTTGCAACAGCAACATCGTATTTATGTTTTCACCTGGAAAACCCTAGATTGAATTTAAAAGGGGTGTTGTTGAGGATTCGGGTAAACCGCCTGTCTTTTAGCTGTCCTTAGCCAACAGCATCAAGTCATTTTCGTTTTGCAAAAGATTGTAACTCCGCGTCGGGGAATCGAACCCCGGTCTTCCGCGTGACAGGCGGAGATACTGTCCACTATACTAACGAGGAAGCAACTTGGAAAATTTTTTCATCGAGTGCGCCCCAATCTTACATAGTGTCATGCCCTGCAACGACAATGCCAGCTTTGTTTTTCGACTAAAAAAACCCCAAGAGTGAATGGGGCTGTTGCAGATTCTGTGCAACTGTCTGTCTGTTGACTGGCTTAAACTTGCATTGTCCTTAGCCAGTAATCAAAAGCTGATTAGTCATTTGCAATAAACAGAACTCTACTTCGGGGAATAAAATCGAACCACGGTCCTCCGCTCGACAGGCAGCGAAACTGTCCACTATACTAACGAGGTAACAACTCAACACATTGTGTTATCGAGTGCCCCCAATGTTACGTAGTGTCTTTTTCTGCAACAGCAAAGCCATGCTTGTTTTTGGACTTTGAAACCACAAGAGAGAATGTAAAATGTAAAAAGTAATGTAATGTAAAAGCCCTTTGACTTGGAATTTTTGGGCTGCTTTGCTGCTGGCAAAGCAATAAAAAAGTGTAAAAAAGACAAGTCCTTTCCGATATTCGTCGTTTTGTTGAAGTATGCGGCTATGTGAAAGTAATAAAGAGCCAAGGAAACATTTGCCTAGTGTAAATGGCAATATTGCCCCATCGGGGAATCAAACCCCTGTATTTGCTTGATTAGCAGAGACACTCTCCACTACACTGAAGAACAAACAAACTTACGAGAGCGTGACACAGAGCACGACTCGAAATTTTTAGTCTCACTTTTTGCAACAGCAACATCGTATTTATGTTTCCACCTGGAAAACCCTAGATTGAATTTAAAAGGGGTGTCGATGTGGATTCGGGTAAACCGTCTGTCTTTTGGCTGTCTTTAGCCAACAGCATCAAGTCATTTTCGTTTTGCAAAAGATTGTAACTCCCCGTCGGGGAATCGAACCCCGGTCTTCCACATGACAGGCGGAGATACTGTCCACTACACTAACGAGGAAGCAACTTGGAAATTCGCTTCATCGAGTGCGCCCCAATCTTACATAGTGTCATGCCCTGCAACGACAATGCCAGCTTTGTTTTTCGACTTTAAAACCCCAAGTGTGAATGGGGCTGTTGCATATTCTGTGCAACTGTCTGTCTGTTGACTGGCTTAAACTTGCATTGTCCTTAGCCAGTAATCAACAGCTGATTAGTCATTTGCAATAAACAGAACTCTACCTTGGGGAATAAAATCGAACCACGGTCCTCCACGCGACAGGCAGCGAAACTGTTCACTATACTAACGAGGTAACAACTCAACACATTGTGTTATCGAGTGTCCCCAATGTTACGTAGTGTCTTTTTCTGCAACAACAAAGCCATGCTTGTTTTTGGACTTTGAAACCACAAGAGAGAATGTAAAATGTAAAAAGTAATGTAATGTAAAAGCCCTTTGACTTGGAATTTTTGGGCTGCTTTGCTGATGGCAAAGCAATACAAAAGTGTAAAAAAGACAAGTCCTTTCCGATATTACTCGTTTTGTTGAAGTATGCGGCAATGTGAAAGTAATAAAGAGCCAAGGAAACATTTGCCTAGTGTAAATGGCAATATTGCCCCATCGGGGAATCAAACCCCTGTATTTGCTTGATTAGCAGAGACACTCTCCACTACACTGAAGAACAAACAAACTTACGAGAGCGTGACACAGAGCACGACTCGAAATTTCTAGTCTCACTTTTTGCGACAGCAACATCGTATTTATGTTTTCACCTGGAAAACCCTAGATTGAATTTAAAAGGGGTGTTGTTGACGATTCGGGTAAACCGTCTGTCTTTTGGCTGTCCTTAGCCAACAGCATCAAGTCCTTTTCGTTTTGTAAAAGATTGTAACTCCCCGTTGGGGAATCGAACCACGGTCTTCCTCATGACAGGCGGAGATACTGTCCACTATACTAACGAGGAAGCAACTTGGAAAATTAATTCATCGAGTGCGCCCCAATCTTACAGAGTGTCATGCCCTGCAACGACAATACCAGCTTTGTTTTTCGACTTTAAAACCCCAAGAGTGAATGGGGCTGTTGCAGATTCTGTGCAACTGTCTGTCTGTTGACTGGCTTAAACTTGCATTGTCCTTAGCCAGTAATCAAAAGCTGATTAGTCATTTGCAATAAACAGAACTCTACTTCAGGGAATAAAATCGAACCACAGTCCTCCGCGCGTCAGGCAGCGAAACTGTCCACTATACTAACGAGGTAACAACTCAACACATTGTGTTATCGAGTGTCCCCAATGTTACGTAGTGTCTTTTTCTGCAACAGCAGAGCCATGCTTGTTTTTGGACTTTGAAACCACAAGAGAGAATGTAAAATGTAAAAAGTAATGTAATGTAAAAGCCCTTTGACTTGGAATTTTTGGGCTGCTTTGCTGATGGCAAAGCAATACAAAAGTGTAAAAAAGACAAGTCCTTTCCGATATTACTCGTTTTGTTGAAGTATGCGGCAATGTGAAAGTAATAAAGAGCCAAGGAAACATTTGCCTAGTGTAAATGGCAATATTGTCCCATCGGGGAATCAAACCCCTGTATTTGCTTGATTAGCAGAGACACTCTCCACTACACTGAAGAACAAACAAACTTACGAGAGCGTGACACAGAGCACGACTCGAAATTTTTAGTCTCACTTTTTGCAACAGCAACATCGTATTTATGTTTCCACCTGGAAAACCCTAGATTGAATTTAAAAAGGGTGTTGATGAGGATTCGGGTAAACCGTCTGTCTTTTGGCTGTCTTTAGCCAACAGCATCAAGTCATTTTCGTTTTGCAAAAGATTGTAACTCCCCGTCAGGGAATCGAACCCCGGTCTTCCGCGTGACAGGCGGAGATACTGTCCACTATACTAACGAGGAAGCAACTTGGAAAATTGTTTCATCGAGTGCGCCCCAATCTTACATAGTGTCATGCCCTGCAACGACAATGCCAGCTTT